CTTGAACACTCAACGTGTAGAATTTAAAACTTCGACCCGGGATAATAAAATCCTGAATGCAAATTCAGGCCCAATAAAAAATAAATGAATATTGGAAAGAAGAATACAGTTGAGAGTATCTAAGGGAATTGTGAGTCAAATTCAAATTGCTAGTTTTTTTTTATATCTTTCCCCGACTTTTCCAAATTTCCGCTGACATTTTAAATTTCTACGACTTTTCACGACTCTTCCCGATCTTTCAGGTTTATGGCAACCCTGGGATCCGGACTAATGCAACGTGACGTTTTCGTTGGACTTTTATCAGCTAGAAGGAAGCGATTGAAAATTACGAAACGATCGTTGAAGTATGAGCAGGAGCAGGTTCTCCGGCGAAGTGTATGCTCGTTCGTTCGCTCGTTCGTTCGTTCGTTCGATCGCTCGTTTCGCGCGACTCACGATGGCACTCGGGCAGCGGAAAACGTAACTCCGCCGAGAGGCCGCGGGCGACGTCGCACACGTGTAACTCATTTGCATCTCGTTACGTCGTACGTAGTGCAGCGACGCGTCGATTAATAATCGTCGGTGATGTGTGCGTGCACGCGCCTCCGAGATTCCAGTTAGCCGCTTCGGAAAGGACAGAGTTTGGAGCGAGCACGGTAATAACCGACGACGTTTCGCACGACGATGACGATGACGACGGCGGTCCAGCGTGCCACGCCGCACGATAAGACGTCCCTTATCGTCAGACGGGCAAGCAGGCGATTGCGCGTCCGTGAGCGAGCGGGCAAGTGAGCCGTCGATATCGAATTTAAAGGATTATCGCGCGAGATGTCGGGCGAGTTCGAGACTCGACGAAATACGAGAGCTGGAGAGATTACGCGCGCGCGCGCGACAGAGAGAAAGAGAGAGAAAAGGAGGTGAAAGGTGGGGGAGAAGAACGAAAATCCGATCGTCGCGCATAGTGCCCGTTACGAGAGCGCAGTAATTAGCGGGTATCGCTCGTGGAGGAGGATATCGGGCGTAATTGGCGCGTTAATTTCCGCTTGTGCGAAACTGAACTAACGTCTCGCTCGCTAAAGTAATTCGCCCGTTAAATTCGACGAATTTATCGCTTTCGAAGAAAAGTCACTCTCGCGCGCGCAACAGCATCGTGAGAAATCCATAAGGCGTGGTGTACGAGAAGCTTCGATAAAATCTTAAGATTCGGTAGAACCGTGAGGAGGTTGCAAGGCTCAGACTATTTCCAGTGGCGTATTTTCAGTGGCACATCTCTCTCGAGAAAGCTATTCACAAATTTAGTATTTATCAAGCAAAATTACGTTCCTACAGATTAATTTCATTACCTAAGTAATAAATATCAATTTGAAATTGGTCGAAGTAAACATATATATATGTCGAAGTAAACATATATATACAATATTACAAATATGAAAATTTTATTATTTTTAATTTTCCCATAAATTAATGCTATATTTATGCATCACTTGACTTAATAGAGATGTACAGATAATAGAAAGAAGTGTATAAGTATTTAAATATATGCATATATATATATATGTATATATATGTGTATTTCGCGTATTATTGTAAAGTATGAATTTTACACCGCTGTAATTTCAAAATAAAACGATCAATAATTCTAAAATTTATGCATATAATGGCCGCATGTTACATCTCTGATATCAGTAGATTTTATCAAAATTTTACTTTTAGTTTAAAAGATATTAAAAATAGAAATTAAAAATAACACGCTAATTTTTCAAGGAACACGTATAAAAAGTTTCAACTTCAAGTGTAAATATCTCAACTCCCGGAACGGTCAATTTTATTCTAATTGTATTAGCAGTTAGATAATATTTCTATGTATACGTAATGCATAAGTATCACCAATTCTTATCTAATATATATCACTTTCTCAATATTCATTCGGTCGACACTCGCGAGTCTTCTTAATTGTCCGCAGTCGTGTCTGGATAAGCACTTTTAGACATTACGACCGCTGATTATCCGGCTAATCTGTCATTTTGACAGCTTGACGTGTCATATCATATCCAGACAAGATGGGGACGATCAGAAGAAATGGTGAATTTTGATCCGGTCAATGTTAAGGTTCTATTGAAGCTCAGCGTTGACGATAATCGCCACGCGATAGGTACGTATCTGTTACGTAAGAAGCGTATACATTTTCATAGTCGACTATTCACCGTATCTTCCCTTTTATCTCGAAACAAAAATCTCGACTGATTTCTTGGGATGCGTAACAACGTCATCTAATCTATTCAACCGTGCCTCGTTCTTTATGTCTTATCCTTATAATTAATGGCTTCACGTGTATGTGCGCGCGCGAAAGACCCGACTGGATTTTCGCTCGACTACGAAGTATGCCAGCTTGTTGGGATGTCGCTTTGTCGGATCGTTTATGCGTGCAAACTTGCGCAGATTCCGCACCGATGCTCGGCGCGCTAGATAGCGCGAATCGATCGAAACGAGCATCGATGATTTATGGCGCGATACACCTTGAGTAGAATAAATCCGCGTGATAAAAGTTAAACAACTTAGTCCCGAAGCCGAATCGAACGTGTATTTTACGTAAAAGATACGCGTCTCAAACGCACATACATCGTTATGTAACGATAACTTGAACGAATCAAAACGATCATTTTTCTCGCGAGGGACAAGTCACACTTAACGTGATACGCAGACAACACGGCAGCAGATACGTAAATAGATGATTATTATTTAATTACTTACTCGTAACGTTATAATTTTAATGAAGGTAATAAATGTAATGAAATAATAGAAGCGACAAAATTAAAGTAATGAAAAAAAAAAAAGAAACATTTAACTGACATTAACGATACATCCCTCCCGCCGTGTTTCCGCTCGGGGACGAAAGCACGCGTTCTAAATCGAACGTTGTTTTAAGAATTTGATTAAGCCTCGCGTCTCACGGGTAAGAGATATAATTTATCACAGAGGCGTGATCCTCGGATTACACGCTGGATACCAGGCGAGCGCTTTTCTCTACCGTGTTCCACGAAGGGAGGGAGCCTTTAATCGGAGCGAGAGAACTCCGGGTCCCCATTATTTTCTCGGTCAACCTAACAAAGTCGATATAATGACGAGAAAAAGAAGAATTAGCGACCTAACAATTGCCGGATCGCAATCCTGAGCGCGGCCGACCCGCCGACTCATCGACCTGCCGACCGACCGATCGACTCACATTGTATCTCGCGTCGTTAACTTTTTCACTGCGACGCGCATAGTAAAGCGCCGCTTTACGCGTCGTAGCTCCCACGTTGCGCTCGTGATTGCCGGCAAATCAGATTCAAATTCAGTAGAACGAGGTACTTCTAACGAAACTCCTCCTCCACCGGCCGATCGAGTGCCGTTGTGTGTCTGTCTCGCGCAGATGCAAATTCAAGTGGCGATAACGCGGCAAGCTGGCGCAATCAAATTTTTCCTTGGCGGAAATCCGATAGGAGACTGCGAGATTTCAGCGAACGTTGTTCAAGTAATCGCTACTTGGTGCGTATATATGTGCGTGTGGGTAGGCGATAACTACTACCGTTTTCGAACTCCGCGACAGATTTGATTTTTCGAACGAGCGCACACTCGCGCAGCCGGGAAAGTCGACGATTTTGCCCGACGACGAGCATCGTTTTACCGATGGAACGCACGTGTTTTTTTCTCTCTTTGTCTCTCTCTCTCTCGCACGAATAAAATCGCCTCGGAAAATTGCCGGGCCGGCACTCAGCGGATTTCCGTATTTCGCATTCCGTTCCGTCACGCCGATGGCGCTAAAATCGAATTACGTAATTCTCAATGCACGTTTAAACGGCTGTAAATTAGATATAAAAGAAGCATTACTGCTCCGTAAACGTAAACAATGCGAACGCCTCGTCCATCAGGTGGCTGTTCTTATCAGCGGAGGATCAGATCAATCTAAAGTGTGAAGGCGATTAATCGGCATCGACGAGGCAGACAATCGTCTTCCCGACGATTGTCCTATCAATGAGAATTTGATTAATCGCGATCGCTCCGCGAACCGTACCGTGTAACGCATACTTTCCCATTATCGAAAGTAAAATGGAAGAATATAAAATCGTCTCCCGAAGGGAGAACGCTCGCTTGTGTGTTCCCGTCAATCGCGGGGTACTTCAATCGAGGAACGTCCGATCGGGGTAGGTGGAACTCGATTCGGAACGATTATGAAATTACGGCCGCTCTAAATAAGACAGAGATATCGAGTTAAAAGGGCACAGCAAAAATTCAATTAGAGGCACAACGGATAACGTTCTCCCCGTTACCTCGTTACTCGCGATTACTATTCAGCGTCATCAAATTACCAATTATTACTATGACACAGCGGAGAGAAATCTCCGATCTCGATAATAACGATCGTAATCTCATGACAGTAATATTCGTCGCAATAATGGAGAGTGCAAGCGCATCGAATTGTGCGTACATCGTGTATAACTTGGAGCTGACGTCGATCACGGAAGAAATCGGCGATCGTTAACACGGCAGAGAGGAAGAAAGAGAGGAAGAGAGAGAGAGAGAGAGAGCGAGCGCGAAAGACCGATCGGCTCCCGGTCCGCGAGAGCTAGACTTTGGCTGGTCCGGTTCTCCGGCGAGGGTCGTGGCGTGTCGTTAAAGAGAACCTCGAAACGACGAGCGTCGGACAGGCGCGCTCGAGATACCGACCTGGACGGGGTCCAAGAAGACGCACACGCATACCTAACGAACATCGATAGTGGGGAGAGAGGTCTCGATGGAGATTCACCGTGACCGAAAGACTGTTTCTCCCTACCTCCTTCCTCTCTATCTCGATCGCATGCGTCCCTCTCTCTCTCTCTCTCTCTCTCTCTTTATCTCTCCTTCACTCCCTCGCTCACTCTCATTCTTTCCCTCTTTCTCGCTCGCTTGCTCGCTCTCTCTTCCTCTCTCCTCCCTGAACCATCTTTCTCTCTCGAGCCTCTTTTTTTCCCGGCGCCGCTACTACGTTTGGTAAAACTCACCGGATCTCGCAGCCGGACAGCCTGCTGGATCATCAACGGGGCATGTCGACGACGTCGGTTCGGCCGGCCGAGTCCCTGCCGAGGCAGCGCGTATCGATCGATCTCCTCGTGCGCGAGAGCGTCAACGGGAGCGAGGCCGAGCGAGCGGGCGATCCTCGGGATCGGCGCCGCGACGCGACACGCCGCGCCGCGTCGCACCGCGCCAAATCGCGATCGCGATCGCGCTCGAGGACACGCCGCGTGAGCGCGCACGCGCGCACCGTCGATGAAGGACGGCGACGAAGACTCGCTCTTGCTGTTGTTAGCGAACGCCGGGTCGCCGGCGATGGGAATACCGTCGTCGTCGTCTCTCTCTCTCTCTCTCTCTCTCCTCTTCTCCTCACTCGCTCGCTCTCTTTCCGCGTTCAGCCGTTCTCCAGAACGCTGGCGAACGACGTCAATGGTCCCGCGCGCGCGATCGATATCTCCCCAGCACGATGGCACCCCCGCGGCCGCTCACGGTGGTCGCGCACCGAGAGACACGGGGAGAGAGAGATGGGAAACGAGATCGCGGGATCGCGCGCGACTCCGCCGATCAAAACAAAACTTTCCGGACTGCTGTTGCTCGTGCTCCTCCTCCTCCTCCTTCTCTTCTTTTTCCTTTCTCCTTCTCCTCCTTTCCTCGTCGCCGGATATACGGGGATTGTCGCGAGACTCGACGCGCTCGAGAACACTGATTCGCGTCGTCGGTGCTAAGTATCACGTTGAATCAACAACGAACGAACGTATGAACGAATGAATCAACGAACCAACAGGCACCAACGGGAACGGTCTCTTTCTCTCTCTTTCTCTCCCACGTTGTTATTGTCTCTCTATCGGCGATTTTTCTCTTTGGCACACTCTCTCCTCCGTCGGACTCCGCTTCTTCTCGTCTCTCTCGCTGCTTCTGTTCCCTCTCTTCGGTCTCCCGAGCGAGACTCTCGTATACGCGAGTCGCTCTGCGCTTTCTCGCGATCCGTCGGCGACGAGTAGTTCTCTCTGTCTCTCTCTTTCTCTCGCGCGCCGTCGCTCGCTCGGCGATTCTCACGTCGCAGCTCGCATCGATGAGCGGAGGAAAAACCTATCGACGACGATCACGAATTTACTCGGAGTCGAGTAGCCCCGTCCCTCTCTCAGCGATTCCGTTTCGTCTTCCGTTCTTCGTTCTCTCTTTCTCCGTCTGTCTCTCTCTTTCTCCGCCTCCTTCACCTTCGCCGTGAATCACTCGCGAAAGGGCGTACGATTATTTATAGGGGCGTACAGGTTAATAACGTGTCGCGGCGTGTCGTGAATTATTCTTAGGTCGTCGTGCGTGCATGCGTGCGTGCGTGCGTGAATGCGTACATGCATGCGTGAGTACGCCCGCTCCGTCCGTCGCGCGCGCGGTTAGATAGGTTAGCTTTTATCCACGACGTGGTCGCGGGGACTAGATGCGTTGACTAGATGCACGACGAGGGAGCGTCTTTCTTAAAATATACTTTTCACGCGTGACGACAGCGGCGACGACGACGACGACGACCAGCGAAGCGGAGACGGCGGCGACGGAGGCTCCGACGGCGTAACACGCGCGGACGGCACTGCTTCTCCTCTACGCTGCCAGAGAGTATTCAAATTTAGACACGCGTCGTCTCTCCGCGACGGCGAGTGCTGCCCTGGCGCGCACACACAGCGACGACGACGGCAACGGTGGCGGCGGCGGTGGCGGCAGCGGCGGCGGTAGCCGCTTGTGGTAAGCTTGCCGTGAGGACGGTTAAAAAACCGGGGCGGTCGCGCGCGCTTCGACCAGTTCGCCCCGAGTTCGCGGTCGAGCCTGAAATAAAGATTTGAGGAAGTCGCGCTGAGAACCGAGCGAGAGAGTGTGCGTACGTACGTGCGTGCGAGCGAGCGAGCGAGACGAGTGGAGGAGAAGCGCGCGGCGCGGAAATAAGGAGAGAGAGAGAGAGAGAGAGAAGCGACGTGAGCAAACGAGCGAGTGAGAAGGGGAAACGAGTCGCCGCGGCTGGCAATCGTGTACCAGTCGGTCCACCTCGCCTCTGAAGTTCGCCTCGGCGAGTCGAGATACGTCGCCGCGTCGCGCTCACTCATTGGTCGATAACGCCGCCGACGTCAAACGACCGCCGGCCAATCGGGCCGCGCTGCGCTCGCGCGCCATCTCGCGCCGTTCGTTACTGGCTCGTCGCTGGCTCGACGTATAGCCGCGTCCTTCTCGCGCTCACGCCGCGCCGTCGCGTGGCCTCGCAGCTGGTCGGCGTAGCGCGGCGCGTGCGCAACGGCGTCCACTCGCATTGGCGACGGGGAGCGCGAGCCGAGCTCCGCGCGCGAGACTGATCCGAAGTTCCGATGAGCGCACGCGGCCAGAAATTTGCCCATACGTAAGAGTTCATTTTACGCGTCCTTTCGCCGGCGCGCCCGGACAGCACGGTGAGATTTGTTTTCAGTCTAACCGACGAATCTCGAATCGATCGCTCTGCGATGTAACAGCAGAGTTTGTCTGAAATTTTCATACGATATGCGCGCGAAGTTGCGAGAAATGAGAGATTTCATGGAAGAACAAGATGCGCGTGTATGTTTGTGTATGATTATTCGTCGGTTCTTTTTAGCTGAACTGACTGCGCTAGTTTATACACACATCGAAGCGTATGAACGAGATCCTCACTCTTCAATGTGCGTACGTTCCTTGAACTAGTGCAGTCAGTTCAACTAAAATAAACGGACTAGATATCTATGGTCGGATTTTTGAGTCGCGAATTATGCTCCAATGTTTGTTGCGTCAGGCAGCAATGACGGTGTCACTTTATGACTCACTCATTTTCATGGATAAAAATGCCTTAAACGTGGCTTCTTAGCCAATCAGATAGCTCCTAAACCACTTTTAAAGGCGTTTTTACCGGTAAAAGAGGATTCAGAATACGGGCCATACAGAAGCTTGCAACAATATTACAACATTGCAGCAATGTTGACAACGCTGCACAATGTTGCCGCAAGCTTCTGCATTATATGTGTAGTCCTCAGACTAACTCGCTCCTTAACTTTTGCCCTCATGTTTAACTTTTCGCACATATACTCTCACATGCGCACTCACTGTCGGGCTGTTAAACTGTCAGACGTAGTTCCAAGTTATGACGCTCGGATATCTAGATACGGCAGGTCTGACCTGGGAATATCAGAACCGGAACTGGAGAGGCATTATCGACGCCTCCGGTACTCCAGTACTCGATACAGGGAATCACGTTGATAGCCGATGAACAATCCGAGGTTCCGGACAGTCATCTCGGCTGTAATTTGCAACCTTGTGGTGGCGTACGTATCATACGATCGTTAGAAGTTCTCTCTTTTTCTTTCTCCCTCTCTCTTACAGCGTGGAGATTTACGAGGCTCTGGTGCAAAAAAAAAGAACGCGTGTTACAGTTGAAGCGAGAAAAAGACTTGGTGTGTATCGCGAAAAAAAGATGATTATGAGTTCGTAGAGAGAAAAAGAGAGGAATAATTAGATGAAGAGAGAGAAGGAGAGAGAGAGAGAGAGAGAGAGAGAGAAGGGGAGAGAGAAAATGAGAGATGACAAATGTACTTCAGCGTTTGCATTGGCGTCAATGCGCGATTTGGCCGGCGAAAAGCTGCATGTTTACGTAAAAGCAACATCTTTACACTTTATTAATATTTCGCCCGCCAGAAATAACGGCGGTATGGTTCAAGAATCGACCTACGTTTTATACGGAGTTGCCGCATTATAAAGTGTGTACGCCCGAGTCGACGAAAATAACAATTGTGTTATAGACCGGTCGCGCGCAAACGCGACAAACTAAGCTCACACGCGGTCGCGGTATGCATGTGGACGATTCTATTTAAGGCGTTATACCATATCCATACATTCGATCTCCGCGTAACTTTTAGGAAAGCACTCGTTTCTATCTTTCTCCCTTTCTTTCTTTCTTTTTTCTTCTCCCCCGTCGTCGTTTCCAACGGATACGCGAGTTCTCGGCGAATCGATCGCGGCGTAAGGTTACGGGTGAACATTCGGGATACGATCGGTGTGATTCGCGCTTAGAATCATTCGATTTTCAGCCGACTTCACGCTCGTCCTTAGCTGCCGTACAGTAGACTTCGTTAAGTCGTCCCATTCCCTAGGCATAGTAACATCGAAAATTTCCAATCAGCAGCATTACTTATGCATCATGACTGTTGATAATTCGATACATCAGCAACGATCATCTGAGGCAGCAGTCATGGTGCACAGATCTTCAAAAATAACACGCCTCTTTGGAAATTTTTTACGTTACTATGCCTAGGGGATTTTCAGTCTTATCACATCATCAAGTTAAAACCGTTGTAATCAGAACCTTTTTAACTCTACCGTTATAATTATATTAATTACTTATGCGATTTTCAATCTTATTTGTGGTGTAAGTCTAAAAATGTGATTTTCCGTTTCGTAAATGATACAGCATACGTGACGCCGACTGTACAATCACGCGTAATATTGAGCGAAGTGCGTCTAAAAATCTAGAGGACGAATAGGAAAATTTTATCTAATCATTCTTACTTCTGAGTCAGACTGTCTCTCACGTCAAAATTTTAGTCTTTGAGAATTACATGTAGAGAGGGGTTTTGAGTTGAAAAATAAATATGAAATATAATTATTGTACAGTCAATGACAAAAAGAGATCGCGACTTTCAATGAACTCCTCTCAGGACGCATCCGGCACCTGATAAAATTTATCTTCTGAGAATCATTAATGAGCAAATTCTTCTATCGTATAACACGCATATGTATGGAACTCGTTGGGAAAAAGTGACGCAATCTCCCTGCCACTGATTATAATCTATGTAATCATCTGTAGAATAGATAGGATAATATTTACGAGTCGAAGAAACGCACACAAACCTTGGAGAACGTAATTCTCCGGTTCGATATCTTGAGCAAAGAAGGGGGGGGGGGGGAATGTGAAAAAGTAAAACGGTGAGAACGCGCGACGAGAGGAGAGTCCTCCGATGACAAGCGAGGAGAAGCGAGGAGGGGCGTGGAGGGCGCACGACGCCATCTAAAATCGCTCGTTGACAGAGTTTTCGGAGCTGCGATCGACATCCAAAACCAATGTCCCGATTTCCACCGGATGCATCCGAAATTGATGTCGATTTGCTAAGGCGATATCGAGTATTGCGGTTACACGTCAGTCGAGTCGCCGACACTCGCAGTCCATCTATCGACGGTAGACGGTAGCTGATAAGCGTGAGTTAAATGTTGAATCCGTCCTGACAAATATATAAATTCTCAAAATATCCGCGTGCGCGACCGTTTCTGCGGGCAGAGATCTCGCGACGCGCCATTAGCAGTTCCGAAATCGCGAAGTCTCAATCCATTTCTCCTTTCTTTGTTGAAACAGAATGATGTAAAAGCGAGAAATCTTCCCTTATAGGACTATAACTGATATTAAAATAGCTCTCACGATATATAGACGACTGATGCTATAGATAGATATTATGATAGATGACCGAGGTTATACACTGAGCGAAAGATATCGTTGGATTTAATAAAATTTCTTTAATTGAAACTTGTTTTTTGATTGGAGCAAACAATATATATATATATATATATATTGTTATATAATTTTACATATAATTAACTTTTAACTTCGATAAGTTAATTCAATTTTGATTCAACTTTTAATTAATTAGTTTCTGTTTAGGTTACTTTTAACTTAACTGAATTAATTGTACAGATCACGAACTTCAAAAAAGAAGTTAATTCACCCTGATCAAATCCAACAAAATCTTTTTCTCCGTGTAGATTAATACTAATCGGAAAACGTCTCGAACGTTTCCTTTCGGCGCACTCGACGTCCAATAAGAAAGTCTTTCTCCTGAAGACTCGAAACTGAGTACTGCCATTGGACACCGGCTTGTGTCCCGAGATGCGCCGGGAAGAACGATGTTCAGACCGTTCTGCGGGCGAGTGCGCGCGAAGATGCCGAGTCATGACGCCGAAAAAGCGGGATCGCGGGTGATCGCAAGTTCGACGGGCCTAGATGCTTTAGGCCACGATCGCGCACAACTGTTGCACCGTCGTCCTCGTACGAGACAGACGGAGAGAGGAAACGGCGTCGTATATTCGCGTCGAATATTCGCCGAGAGCTCGGGTCCACGCTGTCGATATTTAACAAATTATCGCCCGGTACAGGGTAAATATAAATCTACTCCAGGTCGGATCATCATGTATTATGCATGAGTTGCAATGTAGTTGTCCCCCTACAGCAGAGGTCGGATAACCTAACCCGGTGGTGGTGGAGAAGCGAGTGCTCAATATGTCCTGGCCTATCGATCTCCGGCCGAGCGAGCGCGAGAAGACACGAGAAACGGAAGACGGGATAAGTAATTAATAAGGCCTAAAATCGGCCCGGATCGACGCTGATCGTTCGCGCCCAGGAACACATAGACACGCGAGAAGGATGCTGTGGTGTGCGTTGCGCACGGCGGCCAATGAGAGGTCAGTGTAGATAGGTTAATTGAACGTGCGAGTTTGCTCTGTCTGAGTTACCGTAGCGTATGCGCTCGAGATGGATAAACAGATCTCGGTTGCACGGACGTCACAAGGACGCTCGAGTATTGGTAAAAAATACATCATGCTAGGAAATTTTCTTTTATACCAATTATACATGTTGTTAATATATATGTACATATAACAACCTTAACACATTATACGATGAGGTTATCAGAATTTACCATCATACATAGTATAAATTATTTCTCAACCATGCGTAACGATTTATAATTCATTAATTCAAAATAGCAGAAACGATGTATCAAAGCAGCATG